GATTGGACATATATATATATATATATATATATATATATATATATTATATATAACGAAGAATGTCTCTGCGTTTGTTTGTTCGTGACTAACTCAGTCACCAACTACAACTAAACTTTCTACAATTCTTTTCTTGGACCTGGAAAAGGTCGACGTCCACTTTTTTCCAAACAAAAGTAGCGAAAATCACAGATATTAATTAAAAACTCTGAAAACCATAATTTATTCCCTCATTTTTCTGAGTGGCAACAGTCTCGCAAGCTGGAGCTAAAAATCTGATTTATTTCGAGAAGTGTTGCCACTGCTCGCTTTCAAATCGTAGAGTTTGCTTATAAAAAATTTATAAGATTTACAACGAAAATAAAAGTAGCATTGACAAACATTAAATACATTATTTCCTATTCCATAAATTCGTGGGAAGCCATTTCGACGGTTCCATCTTCGTACGACTTCAATCAGCCAAGATATGAATTTAAAAAAATCTGAAAATTTAAAAATACTTTATTTTGAACAGTTTTGTTGCTGTTCGCTTTCAAATCGCACAGTTTAATAATAAAAAATTTGTGAGTTTTACAAAGTCTATATTTGTCTGTTTGTGTGTATTTGCGTTTGTTTGTTCGCGTTATTCATTTCTGATAAATTATAATGAATATTTTGCCACATTTAGTCGACTAAAATGGAATGTAGGTGAAATATTGGATGGAACTTGAGCTTTCACGGCCATTTGATTACAAAGACGAGAATAATTAAAAACTGCATGCCATTGTTGCGGATATAATGAGAGAGAATTAGTTAATTTTTCTATGGAAATTTTTCTGTCGGTTCCATATCCCATCAGACTGAAAAATGTATGACTCTGAATCGTATTTTTTGCATCACTACTAGAGAAGGATTACAGCGGTAAAGTTCTCTCTGTTGTAAGATGCATTACTCTCAATCTGCCTTAACTAGAACCAGAGACTTCTTTCTACTAGTATTATAATAAAGGTTAGAACAGCATGTCTCATTCATTCAACAAAAGCCTTATAGTTTATTTTACCAATATTTATAAGCCTACTGTCATCCATTTTTTGAAGCTAATGATAATGTAAAAATTTATCACTAAGTTTCCCTTGCTTACCTTGTTAAGGTTCTTAGTATTATAAAGACATTCGCGAAATATTAAACACTTACTTAAAGGTTCACTGCGAAAAAAAAATAAAAAAAATTCTGAAATGTTTCAGATTTTAGGTTACGTCCAAAGAAGCGTTTTTTTTAACAATTTGTGTTACATTTATTTAGTAAATATCACGGTCATCGATCTTAAACCATAAAATTCAGTTCAACAGCAATATCGCAAAATAGTTTTAAAATGAGTGTATCTTTAGAATTTCCGATACAGGGTTTCACGCGCTGGAGATAAAAATTTCAGGCAGCATATTTCAACGAAAATATCCATTTTGACCGCTAGCGAATGCAATTTAACGATGTTTTTGCGTAATAACTGTACGTAAGGACAGAATAAAATACTCTTTTCCTCCAAAAAATTATAAAACTGCTTTAAAATGAATTCTGAAGAGAATTTTTCGTGGCGTCTGTATGAACGTATATACGGACGTACGTACGTATCTCGCATAACTCAAAAAAGAGTAGCCTCAGAACGTTGAAATTTTGTATATAGGGACTGCTATAACATGTAGATGTACACCTGGTATTTTGGTTGCCATCGGCCGCGCCAAACGTATATAAATATATTTATATATATATCCACTCCGTTACTCGGCTCAGTGATCTCAGTTTCTTTACTCTTATATGTTTGTAAATTGTACATTTTTTGCTTTAAAAATGATTGAATTATGTTGTTCTTATCTTCTGGTTAAGGTTTTTATGCCTTTAGTAAATCTATATCCAATATTTTTAGAATTATCAACAATTTTAAATTTCTTTAAGTGCCGCTAAGCCTAATTTGATGGCGGCCATTGCTCTTGTTCACATTTAAAACAGCTGAGTAGCGGATTTGTTGCCAATCTAGAGAAACTTAGCTTCGCAACAACAATGTTAAATCCTTCATTTATTATTGCGAATTAAGTCATGCTTAATCATGTCTGGAATTTTTTCGAGGAAATAAGTGTTTAAGATTTATTTCGTAAATTTTAATACAGTTATTTTGAGTTTTATGTATTTATGTCTTGTCGCGAAGTGAGAACTGAATTAATTGAATGAAAAATACTGAATCGTCTGTGAAAAACTGTTTCTCTTTTTTTTTTTTTTTTTTTTTTTTTTTTTTTTGGTTGCTTAATTTCTTTTAGCCTTCTAGCTTCATTACAGTATTTGAACAGAACATGTGGCAAAGATTAGATAATTCTTTAAATGATATAAATTTTGTGCATTCTGGGTTATAATATGAACGAAATATAATACTGTTAAGTGAACCTAGAGCCAGACTGTTCTTATGGTAAACAAATAGAGTGAAGTTTAAAGAATGCATTTATTCTATTGTGGTTTATGCGCTGGCGGCGAAGTAGATTTAATTCAATCCAATAAGTTTAAATGAAATGCAATAAAAAATGCATATAATTTAATATTCCGTACAAGGAAGTCATTTGGTGTACACATCGTATTTTTATTTTAAGCTTTGAAATGCTTGAGTTTGTTAATCAAAAATTCTTGAAAGTTTTAAAAAATATGAAATCGATAATATAGCAAATTCCAAATTTCAAATTAGGGCTTCCAGGTGCCCATATTCTTAGGAGGATTACGTCATTCAAAATTCGATGGCTCCTAGGTACCGTTGTTTTATCACAATCCGAGAAACTTACATACATTTATGCAGATTTGTCGTTATTTAATTTTTTTAAATATTACACACGGCGATAATACTTTGTGGCAACAGTTTGAAAACTGATTCTCCTTTTGTAGTGAATAGACGCAAAATCGCGAAACGAAAACAATAGTCCTTCAGGATAAAAGCCCCTTTGGACTAAAAATGGGAAATTTCTATATTTCCCGTTCTGCTGGACAGATTGATGAAATTGATATTGGTTTTTTCATATCTTCATAGCGCGGCCTCGGATAGGTATTATATTTATATATAGCTGTATACTAATATAGGTTTTTGACACGAAATCGGACTTTTTATGAAATTACATGCCATTTTTTATTTTCCTCATTTCAATTCTACGACTCAAATTATGCCAAACTGCCAAGTTTTGTAAAAATCGCACGAGTAATCTTTAAAAAATTAGCCCTCAAAATTTTAGCTTCTCAGTGTTAATTCAATTTGACACATATTTATTAATTTCTCTTTTTTTAATAAACTTACTTAATTCCTTCTTCCAGAATTCGAAATTTAGGCTTTATCCAAATACAATCCGCACAGTTTTTATGATTTATTTTTAAAATTTGTATTTTTAAACATTTTTGGTAAATTTTTCGACAAAATTTGTATTATAATCTATAAAATTTTTAACGTCATATTTAAGTAGATGTATTTTCAGGCACACCTGCAAAAAACTAGAGTTTTTTTACTTAAAATTTTCTAAGATACACATGATTTTACAGATTGCGGCGTTTTGAAAAATTGCAATTTTATTTTAAGCAATAATAATGCCAATCGTAGTTTACGCACTTTGCTAACATTATATGATAGAAAATGAATGATTATTTTTTTTCGCTCCTCTGCAATGAAGAAAAGGAAAGGAATATAAGTTGCCATAATTTAAAAAGTTCGCCTAGTAAACTATTCTTGGCGAAAACTGAAAAAAAATGCGCCAAGATAAATTTTTGAATTTCTCAGTAAATTTCGAAAAAAATTTTACATTTAATATTTAGGCATAATTTAAATCATAAAATCGAAATATGGGGAAAAAAGGGCATGTCGTTTCAGAAAAAAATCCATTTTTGTGTCAAAATACCCATGTTAGAATAATGCTATATATAAATCTAATACATAACCTAAGTTGCGCTTTCGAGACATCAAAAACACAATTTGAATTTCGTCAATCGGACTAGTAGAATGAGAGACAAAGAACTCTCCCTCTTTTTTTTTTTTTTTTTTTTTCCCCACAATTTGCATTAAAAACAAGCTTAATGGGGTAAGTGGACAACTAACTGGATCCCATATATGCAAGATAAAATCAAGAATATCTGCTGGTGCAGTTTTTACCAATTGTTTGCATTGTTACCAATAAAAAAAGTTTTATGGAAAAATCAGTTTACCTAACTGTATTTTAATATCTTCAAAAAAATTAATGGCTAATCTTTAGAATATGGTAACAGGTAGTTTGGCGACATTTTGGTAAGGCGATAAAGGTTACTAGCTAGGACTTTAGCAATAATCTGAGAAGTACACAGTTCGAATCACAAATTATTTTGTCTCGGAGAAATGAGAGATCATGAGACATGTCATGTGACCATTTTCCAGAAAATTCCAATGGGGATTTTAGCTAACAAGCACTTAGAAACAATTTCGCTGCTCAAGTGCTGAATCGCCCACTTATTTGTTTGGCGCTTTTTACAAGAGTAAGAAGAATTGGATTTTTGTCAATTTTCTTTGACTTTTTAAGTGAAAATAGGTCGATGTGTGCATGGATTAAGTCAAGAGTGTGCGCAATGCCCTTTTTGTGCAATTCTGGGATTTTTTTTTAAGTGAAAATAGGTCCACGTGTACATGGATACCGTGTATGTGCAGTTCTTAAAAAAGCGGCAAGCAGTGGGCGATTGTACACTTTCTCCCAATTTCGCACCTAATCTTCGTCATGGTTAAGTATTTTTGTTCCATAAAAGTTCTAGCATATGCGTAATTTGGCTAGCGGATCGTTGGAAAAAATGTTGAGTAATAAAAAAATGCCTTTACTTCGTGACATCAAAATGGCGACCAAAAAAGAAAACTAGCAGGTAGCTGTAACAGGGTTGCTCGCCAAAGTTTCGCCAAAAAATAGCCAAGTTACCATAATGTAAAGAATCACCAAATTAATTTATTCTGTTATCTTCATTGCCTTATTTCATACATTGTCTTTTTACAGAGTTATTCGCCGGCAGCTAGAAAGGGAAAGTCCGGTGTCCAGAGAAGGTTTGGAGCCACCTGTGTTCGAAATTTTAAATCTCGTTTCCGGGCCCAACGGTCCTCGGCGTCGGTGGAAGCGCCTAGGCAACGTAACCGGATCCCGTGTTTCCATGGACGCCGTGGTGTGGTTGAGGGCCCCCTCGAGCGGCTTAACGGGTCCGCGAAGGGGTGGGCCCCTCTCTAGGCCCTCTTCTCACGGAGGTCGTCAACGATTCCGCGTGGTGACGGCTTTCTCACCTCCCTTCGTGAAGCCGGGAACCCGGGTCGAGAATGGGAGTTGCCTCATTGGAGTGCCTTGTCTGCAAGTGGATACCAGTGACAAGGATGCCATTGTTGCCATATTCGCTGATTATGCAGTCGGCAGATCCGAAGGTAAGCCTACTTTAATAGTTGACTAATCCTCATACATTTCCTTATGTACTGTCTGTCTACGAGAACAGCCCCGCCACAGTGTCTGGCGGTCGTTATAGCGGCAGGACTAAGAGTTGCTTTATTGTTATTTTGCTTTCGGCGATTGTAGGCTGAGGGGAAAGACTTTATCATTCGTCTTCAAGACACCCCTACGGAAAATGGGACAAGGCTCGTTTCTATGGCAACAGACAGCTGCAGACTAACTGGCGAGAGCTTTTCTTATGATAGACAGATTGTACACCTTGCACAAAGAATAGGACATATCTATATCTCTCGTTCTACTGGGCTGATTGACTAAATTTAACTAATTTTTTCATGTCTCGAAAGCGCAATTTAGGATATATATATATATATATTACATGTACACCGCCCCAAAAAAGGGACAGTTCTATATCTCCTGTTCTACTGGCCCGATTGATAAAATTCAACTTGCGCTTTTCATGTCTCAAAAGCGCGACTTAGGAATATGTATTAGATTTATATATAACATCGTTCTAACATAAGTATTTTGACACAAAATCGGGCTTTTCCCTCAAATAACATACCCATTTTTTTCCACATTTCAATTCTACGATTCAAATTATGACAAACAACCAAATTTTGTAAAAATCGCACGGGTAATTTTTAAAAAAATTAGCTCTCAAAATTTTAGCCCCTCAATGTTAATTGAGTTTGGTATATATTCATTAATTTCTCTTTTTTTATTAAGCTTATTTGATTCTTCCTTTCACATTTCTAAATTGAGATTCATTCCAAGTAAAATTCACCCGTTTTGGGGGGGGGATTTATTTTTAAAATTTATATTTTTCAATATTTTTTTATAAATTTTTTCAAAAACTTTTTTGAATTATAATCTATAATTTTTTTTTACCATCTTCTTGAAGTAGATATATTTCTAAGCATACCTGCAAAAAATTACAGTTTTTTTATTCAAAATTTCCGAAGATATACACCTAAATTTATATATTTGTGGGTGTTTAAATTTGGCATATTTGTTGATAGCGATAAAACATCAGATGTGGTTTAGACACTTTTCTAAAATTATTTGGAAGTAAAAACGATGGGACTTTTTTTCCGCTCATGCGCAATGTAAAAGGGTAGGAACGAGGTGCCTCTTTTTCTGCTCCGGCATAATGGAAGGGAAAGGATAATTGCTTGCCACATATTAAGAAGCTTGCCAATGTGACCAAACTGAAAAAAATTTCGCCAAGATAAATTTTTTAATTTCTCCGTAAATTTCGCACCAAATTTTTCAAAATTTAATATCTAGGCATTATTTGAGCCGTAGAATCGAAATATGGAAAAACATTGGTATATTATTTCAGAAAAAGTCGGATTTTGTGTCAAAATACCTATGTTAGAACAATCCTATATATAAATCTAATATATATCCTAAGTTGCGCTTTCGAGACATGAAAAACGCAATTTGAATTTTGTCAATCGGCCCAGTAGAACGGGAGATATAGAACTGTCTTTTTTTTCCTCGCAGTGTACATATAACATTGTTCTAACATAGGTATTCTGATACAAAATCGGACTTTTTGTGAAATGGCATACCGGGGTTTTTCCATATTTCGATAAATATATAAACTAAAGTTGATATATATAAACTAAAATAAATAAATAAATAAATATATAAGCTAAAGTTGCAAGTTTTTTTTTTTAATCGCGCGAATGGTTTTTAAAAAATTAGCTCGTAAAATATTAGCTTCATTTAGTAATTTTTATAAATTTTTCGGGGAAAGAGTTTGAATTATAGCGCATAAAACCTTTGCAGTCATCTTAAAGTAAATGCATTTCAAACCATACCTGCAGAAGATTAGAGGTTTTTATTCAAATTTTCCTAAGATATATGTGAATTTACATTTTGGCGCGTTTTGAAATTTGGCTTAAATTTTTTTTAAATTGATAATACCCGCAAATGGGCTGTACAGACTTTGTTAAATTTATTTGAAAGATGAAGTATGCACATTTTTTCTGCTCATGCACAATGAAAAAATTAGAAAGGCACATACGAAACGATAAATTAAGAATTTCGCCAAGTGAATTATTCTTGGCGCAAACTGAAAAAAGTGCGCCAAGATAAATTTTTATATTTCCCGGTAATTTTGTCACCAAGTTTTACAAAATTTACTGTCTAGGTATAATTTGTGTCGTAGAAGATAATGGAATATGGAAAAAATCGGTATATCATTTCAGAAAAGTTCTATTTTATGTAGATATACCCAGTTAAAACAATGCTATGTATAAATTTAATACATAACCTAAGTCACGCTTTTAAGACGTAGAAAACTGTTGAAAATGTTTTGCCACGTAGTTTCCTGCACAAAATAGTTGAAGCACCATGGATTTCTTGTGAAAAATTCAGTGCGAAGTTAAATCAAATAAAAGCATAATTAAGATATGTCAATAGCAAAAGTCTTTACCTTTTTTTATTGCAGTCTGTATGGAAAAAATTTTCTATAATAATGGACAATGCACAGTTTTATTTAAGTGATCGAGATAAGAAAATGCTAGATTTATTGTAACGCTTCCAGTAATTCTCAGCTGAATAAAAAAATTATACTGTTAATCCACAGGTGTTAGTAAATGCATAATACAGAGGCTGTTCACAGATTTTTTAGACTATGTATATTGTATTCACAAAACTAAATTACATAAAATTCCTGTGTTTTAAATGTTCTATTTGACATCCCTTATTCTAAACTATCTTTCCACACCGCAATTTCCAGGATAATAATGCCTTTTGAAGTGGCAGAAGAGGTATTCTCTCCCATTCCTCCCGAACAGCTTTCCAAAGTCCTGTTAGGGTATTGGGACAACGTTTGGATAATGCAGTTTTTAAAAGTCCGAAAGCACAAAAATCCATAGGTGACACATCGGGAGATATAGTAGGGATATCAGTGAAGGGTATGGCTAGTTTTTTGTTCCATTTCGTTTAGGAAATTTACAGTGGAATTTGATGTGTGACTGCTAGCTTTGTCCTGATGGAGTGTCACAGATGATGGCACTGTGGGTAAAGCGATGGTATTTCGTTCAGAAATATTGGCGATAAAATATGTCCCTGATAGTATTTGGAGTTAAGCTTGACATTTTTTTGCACTCTCTTTATTTTTAACTTGCCATTATAAGAAAAACCAGTAACAATCATGAATCTCTTAGAAAAACATTCTTTCGATTCTTGAACCATGTACTTAAATTTTTTCTCCCCTTTTATGATACAAAAATGGGCTCTTTTTTTTGTTACAATCATTTAAATACACCCACCTGCTTCATCTATTGTGACAATTGTTTTCCATTTTTCTTTGGATAAGTGTTTCTCATATAGAATTCTGCAGCGTGTCCTGCGTTGAGCGATATGCTTTGGAAACGATGCACATTGCGTTTTTTCGCTTTCTTAAGATTTAAATCAACGTTTATATCATTTTGTTTACAGTGGACAACCGAGCATTTCAATGATTTTGCAAACTGTCCTCTGACTAGGGGGATTTTTCTCTGACTTTAAAAAAACGAAACGTACCTTTGCAATAGTCGAAGATGTCCGTTTTTTTTTTTCTTTCTGCGATACTTGTTTTTGTTTGGAATTTTTTGTCCCACTTGAGGCTCCAATTTGACATTTTTTTTTTCCTTTCTTGTTGATGATATTACCTATCGACGCTTTAGATATCACAAAACCCTGACTCTCACATCGTTTTTGGATAACGGAGTATGCATATTTCTCTTCAGAAAGAGCGTAAATGTAATTACTTCTTTTACAGCAAACGATTTTTTATTACCGCTTACCAAAGTCGTCTAAAAAATGTGCGAACAGCCTCTGTATTCGAGGTTAATTGTAGCTTGAGCCATTTTCGCGATAATATGCCACGGACATTAATCAGAATATCAGTGCGTGATAAGTTTCGCTAAAGTGAAATGTTGACTATTAAATAAACTTATAAAATGAAAGCACTGCGAGATTTTTTACTAAAATGATAACAGCATTTATATGCCACACAATTTATAACTGCGAAAGACCCTCAAAATAAAACGCAAACATCAATATGCGCTCATATGCACCGTTTCAAAGTTTCAACCTCACGAGCAATAGAAGCTTACTGGTCCATTTTTGAAAATCCCTCCCTCAGTGGCGATACTTTTGTGCAGTTGTGAAATAGGCCCGCGACGGGAAGCTAGATTGGAAAATAATCGAGTACGCACTGCTGGATCAAGACGAACACTGCACGCTGATTTAAATCTTGGTGCATTCTATTACGATGCTAATTATGGTAACACCCTTCATCCAAGTGTGGTCGTTGGAAAAATGGATACATTATGTGGTGTTGCAGAGCCGTCACATTTAAGAATGAAGTACCAGAAATGTTGTTATGTGTGTAGAAAGTGAAACTGCCCGCCCCAGATGGAGAAAAAAATTTTGTGTATCCAAAAGCATTTCAATAAAAAGAATTAAAACACAAACACTTTCTTCCCTTTAAGTAGCACTGCAACGCATACCGGGTAACAGCTGGTATAATATAAAATGGAATTACACCGCTTTTCAAGAAAATGGCTCAGTTGATGTTACTTTAGCTTATTAGCACATTTAATGAATGATAATAAATAATTTGTATACAGATTTTACAGAAATTACATATGCTTATATTTCATAACTCACAGCTTCTAAATGTTTTCTTCCAAGTTCTAAAATCTTACATAAACATCTGCCAGTAGTTTCTGTTTTAATGATTCTTTCCTCTTTTTCTTTCAGGAGTTCTATACAACATAACTTGCTGCGCCGGAATCTCTATCGCCTTGCTGTTAGCTTTATCTCGTGACCTTCACTTCGAATTTGATTTGTATTTAGTAGCAGACGGCCTGTTTGGAACAAGGCGAGGTAACCGCTGGAACGGTATCACTGCAGATTTGGTGTCGGGTGCGGCTCACATGACATTTGCCGCCTTTAGCATGACCAGTGCCCGGCAGGGCGCCATCGATTTCTCCGTCCCATATTTCCACTCTGGAGTTTCTTGCCTCACTTCGTCCCAGTACAGGGTGGTACCGGTAAATAACCCTCATTTAGCAGTTACTTGGTTACTTTTAAATTGATGTGCTTATTGAAAGTTTAAAGTTATGTAATTTTCAAGTTTAATTTATATAGTGAAAATGACTGTAATGGTCATATTATTATTGTCTTATAGCTCGTGGTTATCGTCCATTTTTGAAATAACTAGCAGTTTTGATTTATATTTAGGATTGCAATGAAATGTTTGTATATGGTTGGTTTAATCATTTAAAATCAGTATCCTGGGTGTCTGTAACTAAAGTTCATATTTTAAATAAATCTAAAACGTAAATTATATTGCCTGATATTAAAATAGCAGAATCTTATTTCTTGTACATATATAACGTAATGAGAGAATACATAGTTAAATTTGCAGCTGAGTAATTTCTGAATTTGGAAACATATGGTGTTTTCTCCTGTGGTTTTTTAAAAGTTTTTTATTAATATTTAAAAATTTAGTGGGTTTGATTCTTAATAATATTGTTACTTTTTTTAACACGGTTGAGTCACTGGTTGCCGGTGGATAAACGTATAGTGTCATTTCTATATTCCATAGTTCTATTTGGGAGAGCTTTCGATTACTATATTCGATTCAAATCACTACTTCAATTAAGTCTTAACGACTTTTATTTACACACATCTTTTATATTACAATATATACACAATTCGAGATTAATTTCAAATCAAAAGATGGGGATTATCCCCCCTTCGTATCAAATTCTATCGAGAGAAAACCGAGTGAGCGATTGCTCTCTTCCAAGTTCGTTTTTCGACTCCCCGGAAGAGAAACTTTCGCTCATTTCGCGTTCGAGTTGTAACATATAGGTATCTCATTCCCTGATCCTTCCACTCTGTGCCAGAGTTCATCAATCGTCGTAGCATACCAGTCTATCGGCAACTCATGGCCAGAATTCTCATTGGATGTGACATCTGTAGAACGTGCTGGCCTAGCATACAAGTCTATCGGCAACCCATGGCCATAATTCTCAGTGGATGTGACATCTGTAGAACGTGCTGGCCTAGCATACAAGTCTATCGGCAACCCATGGCCAGAATTCTCAGTGGATGTGACATCTGTAGAACGTGCTGGCCAGGGCAGCAGTGGAATGCAGTAAGCACTGAGGAAGGTCGGGACAACACGGACAACATGTGGTAGTGCATTATCTTGTTAAAAGACAGTGTCACACAAACTTCAAGGATAGAGGATAGGGCCTTAAGTCAGAAGTGTAACGATGGCTGCCCATCTTACTGGCTATGTGAACAAAAGATGTCTAGGATGGTACACCATACCAGCAAGCAATTTGCTAAGCCATTTGTTCTCTATTGTAGCTTCTTCCTCTGATACGTCCTTTGTGATGCTGTACGGAGAACATGGACTCGTGTGAAAAGACGATGTGGTGCCATTCCTGTGTCCAGTGTCATCATTCGCTGCCCCACTGTAGGTGTGCGCTGTTTCAGCATCAAGGAAAGTTGCGAGTAAAGTCGTCGGAGTAACAGTTCGTAGCGCTGTAGATGTAGACATGGTGTCCACTTATTGTCCTGCATATGAGCCATATTCCCAGCATAGGGTATGTGATATGTACGATCTCAAAAGGTTAAGAGGACAACATGCCTATCCTATCGGAATTATGAGCTTAAGACTATTGGCATCCTGTATGGCCCTCCGGGACTTATCAGTTCCTTATTTTCCTGGCAGTCATGTTTTCTCGGTCAGCACGAAGCAACGCTTCCGTTATGCTACGATTCTACTGCAGTCTAATTCTCCTGCGTGGTAGGAGTTTAACCTTCTTACACGAGGGATAACACGACGTCTAAGCAAACAACGTTTAAATACACTGCCAAATGAGAACCTTCCAAACGAGAAGACTATAAATGCTCTGAAATCTTCCTATTTATACTTTTATGCGATGGCGTTTCTCATACCTGCTTTGTACGCTGCTGCAATGATAATCATTTGCACATCCCGATATGTAGTACCTTTCATGCAAAATCGATATTTGTTGCATGTTTCCTTCACGGTGTACCATTACTGGCCAGCAAAGTATTTATCAAAATAACGTAAAATAATTTACAATAGAGTCTGGCGACAAAAACCATATAGTGTCAAATGTAGACGTCAGTGGTCAAAATGAAGCTTTACTAAAGCTAATAACGTCTAAAGTGGACACCAGTGACTTCCTTGTATGGCTACTAAATTACACAATAAATTTTTGCTCCACTTCATTTAAACATATTTTTCGAACTATTCTAGCTGAATTAAACGATTCCATGGGGCAAATCAAAAACTGTAAATTTTGAAATTTAATACCCCGATTAATTTTTGTCGTGCGAGAGTCAAACTTCTTCAATTTTTATTTTTTCATAACGAGTATAAAAACTTTCCCAAATATAAGTATAGAAACCAGGAGACCGCATTAAACGTTAAATTTTGTTAATTTTCCTAAATTAAGTTTTTTGTAAATTTGACATTGCCCAAACATGAATATTTTCGTCATATAAAACACTTCTGTAATTGGAAGCATACGTTCTGCGACCAGCCATTGCGAAAATAAAGGCTGGGTAAAGACTTTTAAGCCGAAGTGGGTGGGTATATTTGTACTTTTGGTACTGCTGGTTTCAATAAAAAAAAGGCAGGTGTACAACCAAATGTCATAGCAGTCCAATATACAAAATTTAATCGTTCTATGGGTAATCGTTTTGAAATTATATACGTACGTTGAAATACGTACATGCGTACGTACAAACGTCAGGGAAAAGTCGACAGTGAATCCATTTTACAATCCGTTTTGGAAAAAGGAGTCCTTTATTCTATTTGTAGGTACAGACGTCACCCAAAAAGTACTTCCAATGAGTACGGGAACTATCAAAATAGATATTTCCCTGGAAATGGGACAACCGAAATTTTTCCACGTTCATAACGCTTCCTTTACTTCGTACAAAGAAGAAAAACAGGAAGTGGTTTTAAAGTTTGTGTTGCTTGGACTAAATATTTAGTCTTTAATGTAGTGAATGCTACATATCTCTACAAAATGTTCTACGTTGCATCGATTTTTCATCCCCGACAATTATTTATTTATCTCTTTGCCCTTGCTATAAATAATTACTTGCAAAGTAAATTAACTTTCTACTTGTACACTTTCTAAATGGTATTTCCCTCCCGCCTTCTTTCTATTTATTATTATTCATTTCCATTTATCAATAACAAAAGAAAAGTATTTTTACGATCGATTAGCATTTAAAATTATTTGCAACGATCGATAAAACTATCAACAACGAACAATTTTATCCCAAAGGTTGAAATTCTAAAGATATGCTGTTTTTAAATATTTTGTGATAATGCTATTGAATTGAATTTATGTGTTTTAAGTGCAAAGAACATGATATTTAATAAATAAAGGTAACACACAAAACGTTAAAAAAACGCCCTTTTGGGAGTAAGGGTCAGTTTGCCCAGAAGGGCTATTAATTTCATTTTGAAATTTTGCGTTGATTCACTATAAACGGTGAATCACTTTTTAAACTGTTGCGACCAAATATTACAACACTGTATTACATTTAAAGAAATTAAATAATGAAGAATCTGCATAAATGTATGTATGTTTCTCGCATTGTGATGAAACAACGGTACCTAGAGCCATCCAATGTTGAATAACGTACGTTTCCACCCGAATACGGGCAGTTGGAAGACCAAATTCGGCCTTCGTTTCATTATCTATTTCATATTTTGTTTAAGATTTATGAGTTTTTGATTAAGAAACTCAACGATTTCAAAGCTAGCAATGGCAACACTATACGAAGAAAAAAACCGAAAAAAAAAATATCTCCAGCAACCGTATCGAAAATTCTAAGATACGTTGTTTTAAATATTTTGTGATATTGCTGTTTTAATTGAATTTTATGGTTTAAGGGCGAAGAACATGATAAACAATAATAAATAAAGGTAACACACAAAACACTAAAAAAAAGTAGTGTTTTGTGTGTTACCTTTATGTTTACCTTTATGTTACCTTTATGTAGTATTACTTTAGTCCTTTATGTACCTTGTTTACCTTTTTATGTGTAGGCGCTTCTTTTTTTTTTTTTTTTTTTTTTTTTTTTTTAATCTGGTGAAACGTTGAAAAAACGCCCCTTCGGGCGTAATATAAAATCTGAAAGCTTTCGGATTTTGGGGGGAGAGTTAACTTTTTGTAATTTTTTCCCATTTTCTAAATTTATATATATATATGTTTCGAAGCATTTCAGTTTAAAAGCTAATTTCCTTGATTTTTATTGTCAAACGAAATACGTACCATATTCTTTTATGGGACTTTAAAATTTTAACATCCAAGAATTAACTAACATCCAAACTATTACAAAAATTTGAAATTTTCATAGGTTATAAAAAAACACTTCCCCTCTTTTTAAACCTATATCATTGAAAAAGTATCGGATAGGCAACTTTCTAGAATTTTTTTTAATTTAGCCACTCGCGTAGCCAGCTATTCGACTAGCATGCGTATCCCGCCACACTGAATGTAATCTAGATGTCATAATTTAAACTGGGAAAAACATTAGTCGCAGTTAGTTCATTTGTGGCTTATTTTATGAGTTTTAATTAGTTTGCTGCTTATTTTTTTTAGCACGAGTGTTATCGGAACATCAGCTAGGGACAGGGCTTCAATATACCTTGCCAAGCTTGTTTGTAAAACACAAGCTAGCAACTCCAAACTCGAAGTGGGCGCCCACCAGCGGCCGAGCGGTAAAATCACTGAGCACTTGTAGTTCGGTCTAAGGTTCGAATCCCGCGAACGGGCTGGCTGCATGGGCGTTTTTCGTGGTTTTCCCCATGTGTAACGTGTATACGAGCCAGTTTCCCTTAGAAAGTCCTCCACGAAGGCATCCCCTCCCCTTAGGCAGATAGCCCTCGTGGCTTTGCCACCAAACTAAACAGCCATTCGTTCTATACCGTATTATATTATACTGGGGGAGTTCTGCGCATGTCAGCACCATTGCTGTTGGT